CAATTTGACACGACATCAGTCAAGGGTCAAGGGTCAAGGGTCAAGGACCTTCCTCGGTGCGATAGGAAGTTTTTAAATAGAAAATAGGCTCCATCTCTCGACGTTCTCTCTCGCGTCAAATCCTTCGAAAAAAAAACTTCTACTCGAATCGAAAATCACTCGAGTCCATCCGGCCTTGCCGAATGAACGCGGAATGGGTTCGACCGAGTTAAAATGTCACGAGTCTGAAACGACGGACTCGATTTGAAGAATCTCTAAGCCCTGGAGTCGATTGTGTCGTTGGGTTGCATAGACGATTCGAGGAAGTTCTTTGCGGGAACTCGAAAATCTCTCGAGCTCTTCGGGAATTCAGTGCTGCGAATGTCGGCACTCTGTGCAAAAAATTTTCGCTTTCAGCTTGCCTGGCGGTTTCGGTCATGGAGCTTCCTCGGGTCATACCTTTATTATAAAGGTCTTTTTACCGTGCAACTCGAGGGCCCGGGAGAAAGGTGAAGTTGGCTCAGATGTTGGCGATCTCGGCACATCTGAGTTATTGTCGTTAGCAACGACTCAAAAATAAATCCAGCGACTTAATAAAATAATACCTAGTGTGATGAAGACGAATGGAATTTCAAGCAAAAGCTTAACAAAATCACAAAATTTCTCAAGGTTTTCGGAGTGCGCTTAAAGGGAGAAAACAATAGCAGCAAACATGGCTGTTCCAAAATGTCAACATCATTTCCATCACCTGAGAATTCTTGCTGGAATTTGATAGACTTCAGAAATAAACTTGAGAGGGCCACCCCAAAATAGATAAATAAATAGATGCCTCCTGTTTTTTTTTTCCTCAAAAATAATTTACCGTACAGGAACAAAAATTTCCCATAGAACGCACAACTGTCGAGATCCTTCAGATCTTTCCCACGCAGTCTCCGTCCCTTCCGGTTCACGGCGCCACCTTTGTGACGGATGAGGGGATGACGGATGAGGGAGGGCAGTCCATCCGATTTTCGCTTTCCTCATCCTCTGGTCTCTCATCATGCCGACTTCGCGCCTGTCGGGGCGAATTCCTGCGAATTCGCTCTCTCGGGCTCTTCGGAGCAATCAGATTTGGAATAGCGCCTCTGGCGGAATGCAGCGAAACTTCGCGTGACATTTGAATGGTAAATATTCTAAATCTAAAAAAAAAAACTTGGCGTCTTCAAGAAAAAAAATAGGAAGAGGATTTGGGGCTGACCCTCGTACAAGTAGGACATAAGATTCTTAGAGTAAGAATCTTAAAAATCGTAGAGAATGCCTCTGAAGAATCTCCGCTTTCTGTTGACGTCTTCACCAAGGTCGGGTCCTGAGAAGGCGCTTGCAAACAACCCGGCAACAATCAAATAGTTCTCAGTAGTTTCAGTACTAATTGAGTACTCGGGGTCAGAGGCATCTCGAACGGTACTTTCCGGTACATCCAGTCCCAGTACTCTAAACCTGTCAAAACTGGGTCGACTGTCACTTCCAGCTCGTCCGACCTTGGCTCATCTTTCCTATTACTCTAATTGAAGGTCAATTTCAGTGAAGAATCATGTAGAGTCACGGAGTGAAAAGTGGGACTCCAAGGTGACATTTGCAAACAGGATGACCTAGAAGTCCTTCAGCGGTTAATAAGTTAATGGCTGAAAAGTTAATCACATCTTCCAGGTGTACGAAATCTAAATAATAATTGGCACACTGGCAACTCAGCTGGTTTGAGAGTCAATAAGCACATTAGCGTTAATTGGCCGTTTTCCTGCTCGCAGCCTGCGACTCTTCTTGGGACGAGGAATGGAAAGATTCCTGGTGCAATCTGGCTTTCTGCTGCTGCGTGGGAATAATTCAGTCGACATGCCGAAGTTTTCGGTTTCGGGGAAAGAGGCAATTTTATACCTTTCATGTCCAAATTATGTCTGAGGCACGGGAAAATTTTCGATTCACTTTTAGGTATATTTTCGCAAGGCAGAGGAAACGCGTAGGAAACTTACACGGCTTTTAAATAAATATTTTAAAATGAAATTAAATGAAATTTAATTGATGAAAAATGGAGTCAAATAAAATAAAACCAAGCAGCTTCATTAATTCTGCCAGGAACCCATCTTTAACTTTTCATCAAATGCTTCTTGACAGGTTACTTTCCATAACCCAAAGGACGTTTCACACTTTGCGTGTCATGCGTCCTTAGCGTGAATGCAGGCAGGCAGACGCACGCGTGCACGCGCATGGTCACATGCGTCTAAGGCAGGGTTGTCAAACTCAAATCGGTCGGCGGGCCACACCCATAATTTTCCACCGAATTTGTGCTAATAGTCAATGCAAGCGGAAATTTCAAGAACGGAAATTTCAGACGGTGGGCCGGATGAACCACCTCCGCGGGCCGTATGTTTGACACCCCTGGTCTAAGGGTTTCGTGAAACGCAAAGCTTGCGTTTTCAATTCGGATCATCTCGTTTCCACATTTGTGAAACGCCCATAACTCGCAGAAAGAAGGGGGGAAAGATCACTCTTAACATTTTCAAAACCTCAGAATTCTTCGATCTTTGATTTCCAGTTTCCCCTTTATGCAAGCTTCTTCCTTCCCTTCCCCTTCCTGGACCCCCTGGGCAAGTCCCCTCGCTCGCCCTACTCGCAACCCTTCGTGTACGAACGATGACAAGTGCGATGGCACTACGTCATTGGCACTTGAGAAAGGAGCCGCCCCCGCAAACACGCAGAGTCGTCTTCGAGCCCATCGACGCCGATCACGAGCGCGGCGAGCGCCAACGTCCGAGAAAACACGACCCACTCTCCACGAATAACAATGCTTGATTACATCCATCACAACCGACAGAACAAGAGCAAAAAAAAAGAGTGCGAGCACCTCCAAGCCTCCTGGAAGATCACGGATGGGAGCTGAAACCCTGGAGGATATCACGGGCCAGTTCCAGGTCGTTCCGGGAGATGAGCAACGCCTTCACCGAGGCTTCCTGGGTGAAGCCTTCCCCCGTCAGCGTCTTCACGTGGCCCAGTTGAAGATTCTCGTAGGAGCGGACTCCGCCCACGTCTTCGTCCAGCGAGGGACTCTTATCACAGTTGGGTTTACTTTGACTGAAAGAATACAGATGCAGGTCGGGGATGCTGAAACTGGAATCTTGAAGGATCGAAATGTTTTTTTTTTTACCATTCGATTCACGCTTCTCTAATCCACTATCAGCACATGCGTTACGCTTGAAAAGCTAAAACAAAAACGGCTTCCGTTGTACCATTAGACTCACATTAAAAAAGACTAAAATGTCACAACTGGCCAAACAGACTAAGGCTTCTCAAACTTTCCTTTCAAAAGCTATCTAATGAAGAGTTCGTGCATCCTTACCTTTTCTCGGTACAGTTTGTGCTAGATCCGGCGCATGGCTGCGGCGACTGGACATACAGTAGTTGGGCATACTCCACTCTCTCTGGAAGAGTCAACGATAACGGTCGGCAACAACGATAATGGTCGACAATAACGATAACGGCCATGAAGGCAGATCGAACAAAGAACGAGATAACCGAAACAACTAGTTTCTTCCTTTGGGTTGGAAAAAATTGTGACGGTGGCTGGGTACAGGATTTTCCATCATAAAACCAAAGGATGAAAAGAAACTTCGATTTCCTTGATTATTTCATGAACTGGGCACAGCTGAGCAACAACAAAACCGTCTTGCACACGTGCACTTTCCCAGCGGCGTTCAGTTTTGCTCCAAGAGTGCTCAGTTTACAATTAAATGCAATTGCATCAGTGGCACTCTGTATCTATAGGGTTAAATACCTAAATGTATCTAAATAGTGATACTATTGCTTATTCATTAGTTCATAATAAGAAAAAAAAAACAATTGCCAGGGACGGTCTCATTGGTGTACCGATTATTATCCGATACTCAAGGTGGCCTTTCGACCTTCAATTACGAAAAGAAAATCCGATGCAGTATTTCAACGTCTTTGCGTTGAGACCCGAGCAAGAATGGTGCAGGAAATAAATGAGACATTGATATCGTATTCATTTTTATTGAGCATAAACAAGGTCAAACTCATCATCGTGGACACGAGAGCTCACACTTGATAATTTAACTAACGAAAATGTTGCACCACAACCTGCAAATGCGGAAGTCATCCCCGAATCGGTTTCACGAAAACAGATTTTCCCATTCGCGCCCTTTTAAAAAAGGCCAAAGTGTCCTTGAGATGCTCGACCCTGCGATTCCTCACCTGAAACCTACCTGATTGTGGTTCAGACCATGGGGCCACAATGGAAAATCTCGAGTCCCTCCCGTTCGACTGCAGTTTTTGCAGATCGGTGGGGAAGAGCACCGTCATGCTGAAAATTGCTGTTCTCTTCGGCTGATATCAATATACATATCGATTTTGGATATTACTCCAATCTTGCAAATGATAGTTACCCCATATTATAAACGATTACTGGAGATAACTTTGAGAATGACGGCGTAAATCCCTTAACGAGCGTATTTTTCGTTGAGCTTCAATACGGTAGATCTCACTGGAGAGGAATTGCTGAGTTTTGTGGGATCAGGGGCCTCAACTATCTCAAGGCCACCATACACCACGAATGGGAAAACCAGTTCAAGCGAAACTAATTCGGGGATGATTTCCACAATTGTAGAATGTGGTGAACGAACATGGGGGGAGATAAAGCAACAGAGAAATTTATTCAAAAATGAAGTGAGTTCTCGTGTCCATGATAATGAACTTGATCATGTTTACGCTCGATAAAATCAGGACGAAATCAATTCGTTCTGGCCCAACCTGTGAAAAAAATGTCAAAATACTGGCCATTCCTTTTTCGAACGTGTTTTATGGCTGCCACCAGAGGTTTGTTCGGTGGGACATTGAAGTACGGATGGGGAGAGCCACAGACAAGAAACACGAAGGCGCCGCATGACACAGTTTTGGCTTCGTGAGAATGAAGTCCAGGTCGAGGCGTGCATTCGGGAACGTCCCTAGGACCGTGTCAAGTTCATCAGGGCCGAGTACCAAATCAGGTAAACCAAACACGCACCCTGCGTTCATTCCATCTCCTGCCGAGACGGCTCCGCCCAAGGTCCACGTGCATCGCTCTATCCCTTCCCCGTCGCCACGATCCCGCTTCCGTGCTCACTGCTCACCGTCCTTCAGACATGCCCTTCGAGTTGATTAATGCATGCTCCTTACGCTGCCGATTGGACGTCTTTACTTCTCGGAGAACCCTTATAACCTCATCTCAGTACCGGTCCGGCGTCAGTGCGAGTTGCTTTCGTGTTTCATTTCCGTTCTCTCGCAACATATCGATCTTGCCTCTTCGTTGGGCTCTCATTATTTTTATAGTAAAGTTTTTTATATTATTATTATTATTATTCGTATAAAAGAGACTAAGAATAGATATGTGTGGTAATTTTTCAACTTTCCCAGCGGCGTTCAGTTTTGCTCCAAGAGTGCTCAGTTTACAATTAAATGCAATTGCATCAGTGGCACTCTGTATCTATAGGGTTAAATACCTAAATGTATCTAAATAGTGATACAGGGGGGGGGGGGGGGGGGGGGGGGGGGGGGGGTGGGGTGAGAATGGCCCACAAGCCCCAGGCTATATAAAGCAAAGTTCAAAACAATAACTTGGCCTCTGGGTATTTTTCATATTATGATCATCTGGTTTGAATGTAATAATTTTAAAGTAAATAGCACTTAAATTTCACTAATGTCAAAACGTAATAAAATATTCCAGTGATAGTGGATTCCTCACATTGCAATGGGAGGAATTTTTGGAGGAACATTTGCAAGAGCAAAAGTCAATTGTGTTGAACTATGTCAATGTGGTACAAATGTAAAATACACATATCATGTACAAAGTGAAGTGAATCAGCAGAGAATATATGAGAGTAGTTCATATGAAAATAGGAGTTGCAGCCAAGAAGTGTAGTGTTTGAATGTAGGTTACTTTATGGCCTTGCAAATTTGAGGATTTCCTTATATGATAGCATGATTTAGCAACTAAGCAATATGCATTAGCAAGTGCATGTGAAATGTGTATTTCAGTTTGGTTGGTATTATCCAAAGCGTTAATTCTCTAATTTAAAAAATAGCATGCTACAACAGATTCTTGTCACTGATGGAGCAAAACCTATTTAGAATTGATTAGAAGACGCTAGTGAAAAACTGAGCACCAATGACTTGATGTGTCTGTCATTCCAGATGGATGAAGTCTTCAGATACAAAGGAAACAGGACCTTTAGGCATAATTCATGGGTTAAATTTGCATTAATATAGGTATATGGATCAACTGTAAATCTCCAGTAAATAAGCACTCTTAGGTTTCTGGGTTCAATCCATGTTCAATTCTTACACTTCCCCTGTTTTTTCAAGCACAGCCTTTCAAGTCATCTATCTTGCTTAATCTAACTTTAAGTTAGAAAATGGAGTCAAACTTATTCCATTTCTGTTCTTTTCATAAAGTTTATAGCTATGCCACTCAAGTCACCAGCTTGGAAGTATTTTACAGTTTCAACAGTCAATGAATCACAAGCAATATGCAAAAACTGTGGCATAGCTGTATCAAGGGGAGGAAGAACTCCAAAGGACTGGACTCCAATGAACCTCGTTCATCACCTCCATCGAAATCATTTGAATCTGTACAAGAAAGTGAAAGATGAAATCTCCATGTGTAAAAGAAAGAAAGAGGAAGCCAGACTCTTACTTGAATTGCATTCTATTCCTAACATAGAAGAGTTATTACATGATTTCATTCAAGAGCAAACATATGCAGGTGCTTTCACAGAGGCTTCCAGCCTGAACTGGGCTCCAAGTCAAACAATATCATCATCCAAGAAGGTAAAGATAGACATGCACCAACATATGACTGACCATATGAGGGCAAAGTGCACTCCTAGGGATACAATAGCAACACCCCATTACCTTCTCCCTAGTCATCAGCATCCAAGTGATGTCATGCTCTTCCAAATGAAGGAAAAGGTTACAGAAAAGCTTCATCAAAGTCTTGCAAAGGAAAATCATTTTAGTTTCACCATGGACATCTGGAGTGGTGTTGAATCATTCCTTTCTCTCACAGTTCATTTTGTGGATTTAAGCTTTTCCTTACAGTCAAGACTTCTTCACATTTCAAGCATCCCAATTCTTCACACTGGAGAAAACATCAGGGATGAGGTTAATGCTATGCTCAAAGAATGGAAAATCAGCAGAGACAAAGTGCATTGCATTGTGAGTTTCCTATTTTATCAATAAGGAAAACTAACTATTTACTTAATATGATTTAAATTTTCGATTTTGATCATTCAATAGGTAAGAGACAATGGAACAAATATGGAAAAGGCTGCTGAACTCCTAAAACTTGAAGATATCCCCTGTGTTGCTCATACCATCCAACTAGTAGTGTATGATGCTCTTCTTGGGCACAGGAGCATATCTGATGTCATCGGGAAGGTTAGAAGAATTGTTGGGCACATCAAACATTCTCCTCATGAAAGAGACAAACTGAAGAAGGCCCAGATAGCTCATGGCCTCAAACAACATATGCTGATCCAATATGAACCTACAAGATGGAATTCTGCTTTCTACATGCTGCAGCAATTTCTTGAACAGAAGAGAATCTTCATCACATACCTGAGTGAAATGGAGGGCCTCCCAAATATAGATCAAAATGATTGGAAAATTATTGAAGAAACTTGGGCAATTCTACAGCCCATTGAAGAATTCACCAAGAAGGTAAGCTTTACACATAGGATATACTCACATTATATATTTCCAAGAATGAGGTGGTTGTGGTTTTCATCCTCTAGGTGAGACAAGATAACGTCTCTGTGTCAGTTGTCATCCCACTTCTCCAAGGAGTACTATGTTTCCTTAAGAGAATTCCAGCAACTGAAGCTGGCATTATGAGGGATGAGGTTGTGAAACAACTGGAGAAGAGATTCAAGGCCATAGTAGAAAACAAGAATGTCATATTGGCAACTATACTTGATCCTCGCTTCAAAGCTGACTTTTTGAAGGCTGAAACTATACAGGATGTGCAAAGCATATTGTTAGGTAATGAAACTTCCCCATTCTTTCTTCTAATGATATTCAGTGTGGGAATAACACTTTTTATGGTTTTCAGATGAACTACAGATGGTATACAAAAGTATACCTTCTGCTGAGGCAGAAGAATCAACCACCCCAATGGAAGGACAGCCAGAAGGTCAGACTTTTTGGGAAGCAATCCAAGAGATTATGCAAGAAGTACCTCAGGTTCCAAGGACCTCTTCAGAGCTTGCAGAACTTCAACATTACTTCAACTCTCCTGCTCTTTTGGAGAATATTGATCCACTGCATTATTGGAAGAATCACCAGATGCAGTTTCCTGGACTCTCCAAGCTAGCTAGGAAATACCTGTCTTCCCCTGCCACTTCTGCTGCTAGTCAGCAAGCATTCAGCAATGCTGGTTCAGTCTACTGTGATCAATGGAAATGGCTTCAGGGAAAGAAAGCAGAGATGGTTCATTTTCTGAATGCAAACTTGAAGTTCTTGGATTCTGACTTCAGGAATGGTATCCCTAGTAACTAGTTCAGAAATATATGGTATTCAATTCTGTGATGATACAATGTACACCTTCATTCTTTTCCTTGCAGTATCACAAGTTATGGCAGGCAAGGGTTAAAGTCACTAATGCGACCAATTTCATCTTCTGCTGTCAGGAATAATTAAACTGGACTCCATGATTAACTTATAATTGTTATCAATTCAAATTTCTCATCAGTAATATTGTAAGTCAAAACTGTGGAAGGGCAATTGAATGTACAAGGTGGGCCAAAAAAAGCTTGAGTTTACTTCATTGCTCCACAGCACCCACAACCCCTAGAGATATTGACAATTGCAATAGCACCACTGCATAGAACATTCATTCAGCATTCTAAGTGAACAACATCCTGGCAAGATTACAAATGTGCAAGCAAAAGGATGGATGTCACCTGGAGCACATCTTATAGGGTACTGGTAAGTGCACTTTCAAGTGCTACTTCTGTTACACTGATTGTAACAGCATCATATCTTAAGACTTTTGACATCAGTGGAAATTTAGAACGTTCTATATAGAGATGCTATTTCAATATTTTGCAAACTCTTGGAAAACAACAACGCGAAGTGTTGAAAATAATCCAATATTTTTTTGGCCCACCCTGTAGTTGATATTTGTAAGAGAACAGGTTTATGGGTCCAAAAGGTTTCCTACAATGCCTGTTAGATGGTGATATGTGTGGATCCAAGTGGCTATGTTCAGATAAGCAAATGTAAAATGGAGAATGGATATAAATGATGTTATTATGCCTCATATTTAATGTCCAATTTATCTCCCATCAGGGATATGTTCATAATGACCATCGTCCATTCCCATAACTGCAAGCAGCCAGCACACATATTGAGTCAATGCTTGAGAATACTAAAATTCCTAGTGATTGGGTATTTTAGAAGTAAAATATATTGAACATCACCACACTGCTTTCCTCTCCATGCAAGAAAGTGTGAGGTTACTGTCATGCCAACGACTGTTATCCCTGCAGCATTCACCATTGCATGTTGTAGAAATGGGTCCTAATCATTTTGAAAATTTGCTGATCTGACTGTTAATAACCGGAACATGTTTGCATCTCCCATTACTGTATCAATTCCAAGTGTAAAAAATCAATAATGTTATCATATGTCAAGTCAACCACAGCCCCACCAATCCAAATATAAAGCCATATGACAAATATATTAGAAAATCTAGTACTAATAACCTCTCTGCTTAATGTCAATGGCATTCAACAGTTCCTTCCATCATTATGATGAGACAAATTTTGGTGACCTCTGTAGAACAAGCTTCATATACAAGATGTTAAAGACAAGTGACTAGTTATATTCCCAAGGAGCCTAACTCAAACATAATCAGCAATTATTTTGGCTAAACCCAGCCGCTCTTTCAATGTACAGCACACAAACCATCCTTACCCCATTCAACTTTGTTCTGATACAAACTTATGCCTCTGGTGTAACAGAGAAAATCACAGTGACCAAACCATATGCAAAAATAAACTTGAGAAATAATGAATGTTATGGCAGAACATTAATAATTAATACTGCATATGAATGCAACATGTACCATAGCATAACTTGATCACAGCAGAAACACCTCTCACCATTCTGACTAGTTGATTGCTCTGTTGCACGCTCATTTTGTTCATCATCATCATCAGGTGGCCGGAGTTCAGCATAGTGCAGGTTCTCTGACCGAATCACAGGTACCTGATCCCTTCTTCTTGATTCTTGTATCTAAACAACAAATTAATGGAAATCAATAGCAAGAGTAATCTCCACAGAGGTCCATGATAGCAGTTGAATGACAGAATGACAGACAGGAGAAGCAGTTCTGGGGAGAGGTGGCACAGGGTGAGGACTTGATCCTCTTGGATGTAGAAGAGGGGGTAAAGATGGGGATGTGGATAATGGGCAAGAAGATGCAGAGGAGGAAGAAAAAGGCACAAGTGGGAGAGGTGATGGCTTTGGAGGATTCCTTCTTTGCCGTTCTATATGCTCTTTCCTCCTGGCTCCACTGGTTTGGGATAGCTCTGTCAAAAAATTATGAGCACCACTTTTTACATACCTAGTTATGTCACTTGTAGCTTTGCATCTGGGAACTGTACCAGTACATAAAAAATAAACTCTTTCTTGGTAGTGGGTTCCCACTTCTCAGATACCCTTATTGAGATCAAATTAAAGGGAATAATTTTTTAATGGTTTTACTTAAAGAATACTTACCACCAGGAGTGGTGGTGATGGTAGTACTGGCAGTATCCAAGTAGAAATAATACCCTTCATTGCCACCAGCAATTCTAGAACTGAGGAAAAACCATACATTATTACTCAATTATCACTTGCAATCAATGAAATTTTGTTAAGGGCATAGAGAGATTCATGCACAAGGGTCACTCCACAAGTTCTTAGACTTTTCACCAATAAATTCAGGTAGGAATGAATGTGAGCCTATCTCCCTTCATTGAAGACACTCTTTTCAGGTTGCTTATGCAAGTTTCTTTCAATTTGTTGGCATTTAGTCAAATTGAAGCACTAAGAGCAGCAGCAGGTAGTGACATTTCTTGGGTAGTGATTCCTCTCAGGGCTGACCAATCACTTCCTTCATACCATCATCTATCACTGGAAGGGAGGTTTTTCAGGTGATACTAGCTTTGATTCATTGAAGTGTCCAGGGTATTAACCCTTTAGCTTGAGACAGGGCTTGATGGCCAAGATGTTCTGGCTTCCAAGTAAAACCCAGGAGGTGGGGGATCATGTCCAGGTGACAGTGAGCTCTGCTTCTGCAGACAGTTAACCCACATGCTTTCTGCTTAGTGTAGGATAGCATGCACACCACTCTGTGAATTATGTCTTGGAGATACAGGTGCAGTACACCTCAGAAACAACTGCTTGTGCCAGTCATGGACTAAGGCAACTTGTGAGCCACCTCTGAGGCCTCCTACTGGACCTCAGCTGTCACAGCCTGAGGGATTATGATTTAGGTGTGGTGCCTATGCCAAGCAGGCATTGGCACCTCCCTCTCTGTATTGTAATACATCTATTTTCATTTGTGTTCATCACACGTCCTGTCTTTATACTAAAGACCCTTTCACTGGTAATCTTAAGAAATTCTTGGACTGACCTTCTTTACCTACTATTACTAGTGCTAAAAAATATGACATGCAAAACAAACTGCAATGTGAGGTTATTATGAGCTGTTTGTGAGGTGCAATTGCAAAAGTACCTAGAAACAAGCTCAGTGAAAATTCATGTATGCTGTACATCTTAAAAAAGTGTTCCTTTTAAAATAAATTCTGCAAATTTTTTTTTTTTTAAATTGGCCAGTACAAGGTAAACTTCAATCTCAAAACTCACCAGTGAAATGGTTAAGACACCAAGGCCCTTCACATGCACTTCAACTGGTACTGTCTTCTCATGTGGGAAAAATGGCATCAAATTTCTTGGTGTCCATGAATAACAGTGAAAGAAGCATACTTGGTGTTCTTGCTGATAGGTTCTCATGAGACCTTTAAGCAAATAGAAGGGTTGGGCGCTGGATTGGGTCAAGAAGATAGTAGCTTGCAAGAGCACCTTTGTTTCTGCTGTCTTTGATGAGTCCTGCAAGCTATAGGCAAAGACTGGTTTCTGGGGTATCCAATTGCACCATAACAATGCATCAGCACCCATGGTTGCCATAACTGTGACCTATCTAATTGATGCTAGGGCCTCTAACTTCCTTCACCCACCTGCAAAATTCCCTTGACTTGACTATTGGCTCTTTCCAAAAATCAAAGAGAAGCTAAAGTGGAGATTTGACAACAAGGAAGAGTTGGAGAATGTCCCAGATGAAACCATTTCTGCCATACCCAAAGAAGACTTCATTGTAGCATTTTAGGAGTGGTTCAAACGGATGAAGAAGCACTAAGAGGGGAAGGCTGAAGGGAAGTACTTAGAAAAAATGCAATCACTTTTTGTTTCCTTTAGTTAAAACAAAGCATAAAGCCCAAAAACTTTTGGAGTGATCCTTATATGCAAGTATGACTTTATGAACAAACCTAAATCTTAAGCAAAGATGAATTTTTAGACAGAAATATGAAGATCTACATTGAAAATAATGTACCTAGGGTATACATGATGAGTGTTCAGCTGTGTGTTTACCATTTTTAACCATTAAAAGTGATACTTTCAGAAATTATTCCTTATCCTTTTCTATGCATCACACCCAACATTTTGCCAAGTATATGAAGGCTTCAGCAAAACCATTTTCAGAAGTATGTTCAGACCACTAGAAAATAGCAGTCCCAAGGGCATTTTTGGACTTGAACAACTTTCCTTCAGAGACTTTCAGTTCCAAAAAGCCAAAAGTTTGGTGAAGAAAAGTCAGTTCTTTTCACAGCTGACAAAATGAGGTACAAGAGAAAACAGTGAACAAGGACCTTGACAAGGAAATCATTAGCAATCAAATCTTGCCTGCAGTGAAAAGAAACAGTAGGGGTTGTGACAGCAAGATCTGTTTTACCAAGGCAATGCTCCTCCCTGTTGAGCTCCCACTGTCAATTTATTTTTTTTTTGTCCAGGGAGGAATCAAACTGCTATCTCAATCATCATATTCTCCTGACCTTGCTTTAAGCAAACTTTTGGCTGTTCGGAACTTTGAAGGACCATTTGCCTGGGAAGGTGTAACATATCAGAAATGCCCAGGGGACTGCTACTTCTCAGGGGGCAAAACATGCTTCTAGAGATGATTTTGTTGAAACTTTGTTAGAACTTGGTAACTAAAACTTTTTGAAAAGGGGGAAGTGATGCATGGAGAATGATGTGAGTTATGTCCAAAATTATTGATTTTACAACACCCTGTGATTCCCTAATCAAAATCAGTAAAACAAACAGTCTTTACATTTTAAATGCATTCATTGTTTCTTCGAGAAGCTGAAGATTAATTTTTCCCAGAATTTTCATATGCATGTGAGAATATTTAAAAGGTCATTGAGTGATGTGAGACTGGATCCTAAGAAATATCAGTGTGCAATTTGGCCTACTTTATCAACATCCACCTGTATGTATCACCTAGAGGTAAACTGCTCAATAATGGCATTACAACCTAAGATTGGCTCTTGACAAAGCACATCAAATTACACATGAAGCTTTTGTGGTTAAACCACATGGTGCCCAGTTCAAAACTTCTTTATATCTTCACACACATTCCACTAACTGTATCACAAATCCCTAATCCTAATGACAGTTCAATGTTGAGTAAGTAACCAAGCGAGCCAAAATTTTGCAAGCAGGATGCTGTAAAGATGAGACTTGTCTGGTGTGACCATACCTAGTTACTAAGACAGGACCATCCTGGTGAGAAGTCAGTCGCTTGGGAGGGATGGGTGGTGGCTCATCCAGTTGGGGAGCCTTCCTCTCTACACAAGGAGAATGTCTTGGGGATCCCCTAGGACTCTATGCATTCAACATAACACTTTCATGAACACGCTTATCTTACTAATCCCTTTGGTAGAATGCCCTCAGCTATGCAAGCAAATGGCTTTGCTCATGTGTCGCCAAAGGAAAGGAGAAGGAATAACGGAGGAAGAGAAGCATGAGACACTCACAAGCTCCATATGCAACTGAGGGCGGGGTGTAAGCGCCAGGGCCTGCAAGTTCTTTGAAGGCCATGGTGCAAAGTCCTGTTTAGGGAGCAACATTTGCAACCATTTTACAAACTGAGTGCTTGAAAAAAATTAGGGCCTAGCATAGTTCTTGCAGTGGTATTCATCTCACAGGTGCCAAAATCCTCCTTTTTCTGTATAGATATTTCAAGCTCTGCAGGGTTCACTCCCTATGACTTCTCTTTCACTTCTACTGGCACAAAGTTGACACAGTGAGCATCAGATGTAGGTCAAGATTATGACTATGAACTATAAGAAATTAAAAAATTACACCTGTGGAATTTGCAATTATTTCTCCCAAGTAAAATCAATATTCTCCAGTATCAGATGTAAAGCATCCTGGTTATTACTCATAGGTTAAACTTAACCCATCCATGGCAATATGTATCATTACAGTGTGCCATAGAGAAGAGAAAAACTATTGTACAAGATGAAATGATTGATCTCAACTTGAGTTTGATTAATTTCCCTTCCTAGTGCTACCATTCAATTGTCCTGGGTCTCAGTCATCCAGATATTGACAGATATTCTAAAATAGTCTCGTATCATTCAGTATCAGCATGCCATGCATTTCAACATGTCCTGAAAAGGTATTTCCAGGGGAACTGCGAGAACTTTCTATTATCTTGGGCAATAATGTATTGGACAAATGCTGACATTAGGGCATCTCATGTTCTTAAATAGATTGTGGATTCATAATGCATACTTCAGTAGAAGACTGGAGGCTCACTAAAAGAATACATGTTTACAATTTAAATTTTAAGTTGACTCCATACCACAGGGTGGGCCATAAGTCTGGATACCGTAGGTTTACATTGTCCAGGGTATCAGTATGTGGACCATCTTTCGTTTTGTGTACCCAGATACCTGCAACAAGGCATTCTTCAATACTCTTAAAGAACTCATATCAGCCACCATTCAACAGCTGCAACAACAAAAACATAAAATCTATCAATGTAAAAATTACCAAGTGGTGTCTGGACTAATGGCCTTACCTGTAGAGAAGTGACTTGTAGATCACTAGACAATCTCATGCTCTTCCCCAATTATAGGATATTTTCCATAAATACTTGCACTCTCATTCCACCCAGAAAATCCAGGATAAATTAGCTAAGAGCCATTTCATACAGTCCATATCTCCCACCTAATGCCCAACATGCAACATGCATCTGTGGTTGTGGTTCATGTATTTTTATAAAGCAGGAACAAAATGCAAGCAGGTTGAATGAACTGTCTCCAATGTATTCAAACTTGTCAACTTTGGATAAAGAAAACCTGAGGGTATGTGCTGCACACTTAAAAAAGGTTTCTTCAAAGATAAGGTGCAACTCATCATACGAGGTGCTCTCAAACTCCAACATCTAAGATCACAGACCATAGCAAAATGAAAAATAAAAACTCCCCTGACAACTGGGGTATGATAAAATATCGACATGTGAACATTCACATCTGCCCATGTAAACAGAATGCCCCAGACAAGTACATGAAAAACTCAAAAGCTAGTAAAAAGAAAAAAAAAATGGGAGGGAAAAAAAAAGAGATGTGGGTCAAAATGAGTTTCATGGAGCACAACAGCAAGGCAGCATTGGCGGGCACCATTATACAAGCTGCAGGCAGCACCACAGAGCCAAAACAGCACAACATGGGCTCAAAAAATCAGTTACCAGATGCAAAAAAATGAAGGAATGCCAGATTGTGAGATTCATCGAGCAGCATGAACCAAAAAGGGGTCAAAATAAAAATAAAAATAAAAAGTTGAAGCAACAGAAGCACCAAACACAGATCAAAGAGTCTCATTATCATGATGATTTTGTACCTCATCGTCATCCTCGAGGTCAACCAGATGTGCAACTTGAATAGGTCCATTTGGATTTCGTTTGTGCTGCCGATGTGGGTCAAAAGGGTCAACAATAATGCCTTCAGTTCCTTTTATCTCAGCCCGACAAAATGGGCATCCCTGACCTTCCGATTCCTGCAAGAAAAGCATCGTTCTGAAAACTTCTGCCTTGTTTCTTCTTTATTTCATGAAAAACAATACTATATGCAACAGGTTGGAAGGGGCATGTTAAATAACCCACCTGCCATGATGTAAGACAAGGCGTGCAGAGGAGGTGGCCACAAGGTTCAATTCGAATATCTTTGTCATTCTCAGCACAGATTTTGCACAACTGGAATGTGGAGCCCATCTCACAATAAAGCTCATACTGTTCCTGTGTCACACGAATATGATCCTCTGGAGTGTTTTCTACTGCAGATGACAAATCTGGGTTCATGTTTCGCCCATCAGGATACAGATAGCTGAAAACATAGAAACAGTATGACACTGATTCATTCAGCTTCAGTTTCTTGACAAGCAATGAAGTAAAGGAACATTAGAAATATTCTGTTTCAAGGAGACAAAATACATCCACTTTTGGTCCCTGCCCTTCTTCCCAGATCTTCAATTTGGTATGCTTTCAATGCTTGCATGCATTAAAAATTGTATAAAGGAAAAACACCCTGCTATATAAGCTTCCCAAAATCAAGCTGAAAGATTAAAATAATCTAAAAACATCAGCAAAGTATTTGTGATGCTCAAGAAAGCAAATGGTGTAACTCTTTTTACATTCCTTTAATGAAAACTTTCTAAAACAACTCACAAGCCCTCCCGATATCCATCAAGCAATGCTTGGCACAGAGACTTGTTCTGAGGAATGGTTTGGAGGATGTTGCCATCAGCAGTCACATACCCAATCGCCCACTGACCAAGTCGGGTGCAGCTCAAGCGGAACACATAGCTAGTAAAGCATTAGAAAGAGTAGTAATATCACAGACAGCTGACAAATCAAACTCCAACCATACAAAATGATGTCACCAAGTTTTGCAACATCTTAACTAAGCCGGCAGAGTGCGAGACATCATTGACATGCAAAGCTTAGACAAGGTTCTGCTCAGATAATAATTTCACTTCCAACTCAGTTCACCTCATAAAAAGTAAAAACTGAAGGGGTACATTGTCCCTCCCTGCTCAAACTTTGATTAGGAGAAAAAAATTACCATAGAAGGGTGGGTCAAAGTCACCCTGGATGCCTCCCACATGTTTTGCAATTCTGTGATAATTGAACTGCAGAATATGTTGGAGGACTGATTCTGAGAGTGGGCCTACCTTCATTTCTCAATCAACAAGGAACCCTGAAACTTATGTTTCAAAAAGGACAAAATTGCATTGTGATGTAAATAATTCACACTAGAGATTCTACCCTGAAAATATTTCAAACTCCTCTTCAAATAACCATTTCATTGACATAGAGAAGGCATTAAATCTAACCTTCCAGGTTTGGTGATGTATTTCTGCAATCTTGCTTTCACTTCATCATAAGTGAGGAAAGCAACATAGCCAGGATGTGTAACAGCCAAGATCTTCCAGTTTCTCAGCAGTGTTGTCCATGGTTGGAACAACCTAAAAAGAGTCCAAAGAATGGATTTGACAAGCTGGACCAATTATCAAACCAAGGGAGAAGCTCTTTTAGATCATAGTATAATCCTATTACTTACCTTGTGAATACATCAAACTCAAAATTTGATATGTAGTCATTGCAGGTAAGGTCAATTGTTGACTTGAGAGCCATGGCTTCTAGGCCTGAACTGATGGGATGTACTTCACTCAATGTCTGCCTGAACACTTTCCAGGGCACAATGGTTCTGAAAATGGAAGGTCAATAAATGACAGAAGAGCAGGCATAGGCCTATAGTGATTTCATTAAAAGATGCCATAAGACTAATCACCTCTTCACTTCATCCATTTCAATTTTTTTAAATTCATAACAGCAATTCAAAGGAGTCATAGGGTTTCTCTAGGGGGATTCTGAATCTTCCTTGTAGGATACTGAATTTTGATAAATCCATGTGTTTATTGAAATAGCACTTGAAATGCTTACGTTGTATCACCTCCCTCTAGGGGGAAGTCAAGTCACTCATTTTTGCTACCACTATTTTATCCATCACATAGTTTACCCCTAGAGAAATTAAATCAAGGCACTCAGGGAAGATGGGATTTTGTTTCAGTTAACGTAGTGTCAAGATAAATCAGTGAATAATCAAGAATGAATTATGAAATTGGAATCATCGGAGAAAAACAAAAAGAAGTGGTACTTTCCCCACTAGTGACACCTTGTACTTGCAAATCCTGCATCCCCAAAAAGATAGACAAGATAGATCCCACTTCTCTTTGACACAATCAGGCCACCTTGATGGCTAGCTCCTCCAGTGTTCTCACAGGATGATCATCAATAGAAAATTTGGAAAAATATGCCTTCAGGGGTTTTGGATTGAATTGGGAACCCATGTGGGTAGGTCCTACCTGTCATGGAAGGCATTTCTCCAGAACTCAGCGGCATCACTCTTGGTAATCCGGAATTGGTCACCAGCAAAGGAACCATTTGGGAAGATAGCTTTTAATTCACTGAGCATGTGGCTGAACACCAAACTCAACTTCGTGAGGTTGCGCCTATAATGTGAGTTTTCATCGAACATTCTATCTTTGCCCTCTTTGAAGAGCTTGATGGCTTGTTTGCACTTTCGGATGAGGTTCTCAATGTACACCTTGAAATATTCGTTCTCGTTGAGAACATACATCCTCTCCTCGTGCTTCCCATAGATTAATTTCAAGTGTTGATATGTGTCCGGGAGGATATCCAGGATAAAGGGGGGAGAATTTTTCAAGTTCATCTTCGGATGTTGGCACAATTTCACTACTTTGTCCATGAGTTTCCATGACTTCTCAATGCACCTCTTATCGATCACAAGCTTCGGCGGAGCGATGGCTTCAGAGAAAGCGCCGTGCAACTTGGAAAACAAGGAGGAAATCGGCTTAGGTTGGGGCGACCTCACCCACCCAGAGGCGGCCATCTCTGCACTCATCCGACGACAACCAGAGAACTCTGTTCTGAGGTAGCGAACATCTGTTTCCCTGTTCCACTCAGAGGGTGCGCTGAGGTATCATCGCATCTGCGCTGTCCCCTACGCTGAGTTCAAACTGCAGTATTTCTCTTATGAAATTTCTGGCGTCAAAGATCTGATGGCGCGAGCGTGAAAAAGATAAGAGCGTAGAGAAATGCATTAGAATTGGACCGTATTTAGTGCCCTTCTTCAACGGTCTCGAATGCCATAAACGTCACTTGAAATATTTTACTAAGTGAGCCGCGCATCTCGTCACAAATTTCGTATATCTTCTCCCTGCACCTTGGATAGTCAGTGCGGAATGACTTCTCGCACTTTCGACATTGAGATCGCGCTTCCTACGGGCCTAGTTAGAGAATAGTCAGAGGCAGAGTCGATCGACTCCCACTCTGGCTACGGCATCTATCGAGAGGCCTATCATCTGTCAGATCTGGACGAGAAGGCGACCCACCTCCACGAGACCCCCCCCCAGGAAAGCGCCTTGTGATCTGACTGCCGTCTCTTCGAGGCCAACGTGGAGGCAGTCGCTGCGGATCAGTCTGTGACGTTGGCTGGAGCCAAGTAAAACGTTGAAAACAGCCGTGTTTCTTTTTATGGCTCCAAAGTTTCGCGGTTTTCCCTTCATATATTCTGTAGATTCGCTGAATTCACGTTTTAATCTCTTTCCAGGATTCTGGGCTTCATCCGACGTTCCACACTCAATAAGAACTCCCCCCTAGGCGTTGGTAAGACCCCTTTTGAAGTATTACGTTCAGTTTCGGAGGCCTGCAAAGCACAAATAAATGTGGACTAACGGCACTCGAGAGAGTCCAGAAGCGGGCTTTGAGAAACAAGAACAAACACATTAGAAGCGTTTAGGTGTTGAGATTATACGTACTCGAGTGGCTAGCGAATGAGGGCCTCATCCAGCCATTTAAGATTAAGAGAATCGATAACGTCGACCGTGATAGGTCTTTCTAGTTCGACAGCAACAAAAAAAAAAACGAGAATCGACTTAAATTGTGCAAACCCCAAGTAAGGCTCAGAGTACAACAGAATTTTCTTCACTCTTTGGACAGTGAACGCATGGAATGCCTTGTGTAGTGCCTGCCCCGCCCCGTGACTTAAAAAAAAAAAAGAACAATGTAGATGTGATTAGACTTTAAGAAGATACGCCTCCACATAAATATCTATCTTCAGGAGGGGTAGGTCTATCTCACGATATGCTTGTGAATCTCGACCTTGACAGTAAACAAAAATGCCTCGACAATTTCCCTTCTTGCCTGAACCTTTTATCGCATTCTCACTCTCTTTTCCTGCCGACGAATTTCATTTCGAAAAGTAAAAAATTAAGTGATCGAAAGCGTTTGTCAATCTCGGAGGGTCCCAGCTTATAAGCCGAATTTGCTCATTGAATCGGCACTTCCTCCCGCCTATTTCGGAGGAATAAAATACTCCTTGTTCTCACCGCGAAGAAATAACTCGAGGCAAGAAAAAAGCGTTTTCAGCATGTGACGAGGCATTTTGGCTTTCCCCAACCACAAAACCCGTTGTTCATTAATTCTTATTATATAATAATAACTTAAATTCTTTCTCAATTACAAACCAGCGCAATGTGTTTTCCAATTAATTTTCTAATCATTCGTACCTCTGTTCCAGAAGTCAAAGTCGAGTGCGACAGAAATAAAACTCTTTTCCGCAGCCAACTCGCTTAATCACCCCAATCATTGATCCACCAATACAATGTTATTGATGACGTCACGATCAGGGCGATGGAAATCTGTCTGCTGTCCATCTTTCTTGATTTTTACAGCGTGTACAGCATCTTTTTTTAAAGCAATGATGAAAGTGATATGCACTTTAGCTACTTCTCTCTCTGAAAAGTAATTTCATTACTTCATTATCTTTGGATCGAAATGTGATAAAGAATTACCGCATCAGCAAAAGATAGAACTTAGATTCTAGAAATTTCCATAACTTGAGCTGCACTGTAACGGATGAGTCCTGAGGCTGTGTATTATTCACATGGTGTATTATTCACACATCCCGACCGTTTGGTAGGCAGTAAGAATTCTCAGAACCAACTTATCGCCGTCAAGCTGATATCGTAACTTTCCCCTTCGTGAATGACGCGTGTGAGGGGTAAAATCCAGTGACGGAATAACACTGAAAGAGGAATAGTGCGAGTGCTTTCCCACGAACCGACTCGATAAATAAGCGTCGTGATGCGTTGATGCTTCCAGTTGCCCCGGCCCATGCAGGCTCGTGTGCGATGCACGTCTCCCGTCGGCCAATGGGGAAGTCCGCGTGGAGCGGCTCGTCCAATCAGAAGCCAGGGATTTGACATCACGAGGAAGGCGAGCCTGTGAGAGAAGAGACAAGGGTTCAGTTGCACGACGGGCCCGGCACGTGCATTCCGGATTGTCGTGTGGGACGCACGTGGGGTTCCGTTTCAGTTTCGCCGCCTCTTCTCTCTGCAGACGCTTATTCAAGAAGTAAGTCACCCTTTATCGGATCCCTTTATTGATGCTAAATTGCCTGAGGAACGGAAAAAGTGTATGCCACTATTATTTAAATGCATTCGATGTTTAGTAATGGTGTGCGTTCCAGCATTATTCCCCGAAGACCCGTTGAACTTAGCTTAATGACCCCCTCACTCAGCGGATCACGGACGGCGTGAGCGCTCTCTCAATGAAAGATTTTGATTGAGAGAGCATGAAAACCCATGAAAGATTTCATGAAAGATTTTCATGGGTGTTGGAAGTGAAAGAGACGGAAGTACGTGTTCCATCACAGGAATTTTCACCTCGCTGTATATTTCACAATTCATACTTGCAATGCGAGCTACTCATTGTAAGACTGTAAAATATACTTCATGGGAGATTGTAATGACGACATAGATTAACACCTTCACGCCTTTGATGGATCGAGTCTGTGCTCCCATTATCGTAGGAGGATCCTCAACTCAGGTTTCAGCTCAGCAAACGGAGATCCACTCCGCCTTCAGTCTCATTGTTGATTAGGGGATTCCTTTTTTTCCCCCGCAACTCTTGAGAATATCCAACGAGATCCTTTAGTTCAGTCGTAAGAAATGCTGGGTACTTTCTTAGAATTGAATATTACAGTGTGTATCATGCACAACATCTGTTCATCCAGGATTTCAATTGCAACAGAAGCACAAAGTTTTGGCCCCTTCCCATGTTCTTATAAAGATGCATTCTGTTCCTCTTGGCAGTGAAGAGAGGAATCCCAATAGTGAAAAACCCTTCTGCTGCTGCCGAAGAGGGGAGAATTGAATTTGGGGATTCCGTCACAAAGTGATCGCGGTGCAGTATTGGAATATCATTCCTATTGTCATAAAATATATATTATATTGGATTTAAAGACTATTTGAAAGTTTTTCAGTTCAAATACCTCTGAACACTGATGGAGTCATCAGTATGTCTCCGTGATATTGAACTCAAGCCCTAAATTGAACGAACAAAACGCATTTCGACTGATTCCCCCCCTCCCCCTTCCATTCGAAGAACACCATAATCCATCTGCGTAACGGAACGTTGAGGTTAGAGGTGTGCTTGCTCTTCAGTTGGTTGAGAGATCGAGCACATTACAATTTTTTTCAATAAATTGCTTTCAGAAAAACGCAAGGCATGGCCTCGAAGCTAACTTAAAACATGAAACCAATTTGGTTGGAAAAATGTATTTCTGTGGCGATTGCCTCACGGTGGAAAATCAAACATGGGAAATGGTGGTTCCTGTCTCCAGCTGCTCGGCTCAGATGAGGAACCCGTTGCAAGAAAAGCCCAATCGTTCCAACTTGGCGTCCGCAAGAATGAAATTCGAGTCTTGAAACCTCGAGGAGCCGTTCACTCTCGGGAAGAAGCGAGCTTGCCTGCCTTGCTGTCTGCCTTGTTGCCTGCCTTGCTGTCTGCCTGGCTGCCTGCCTTGCTGCCTTCCGCGCGTGAATTCCCCCGCTGCAGGAATGTGAAGAAATAGGAAGTGGGGCGGGACGGCTCTCTTGCCTGTTCTGGCGTAGGATTAGAATCTAGCCTTGAGTTCTTGTACACTCTTTTAGCTTTTAAAGGACTTTCCGTCACCTTGCCTAAAATGTTCGTGAGTGGTTAGAAGGGATAACGAGAACCCACCCTCAGATTTCCAGGTGCGTCAGGGAATCGAATCTCTTCTAAGCTTTCTTCACAAACTACGTCGACTTTCAATATGCAGAACTGGTGCAACTAAGATAAAAAAGTACTAGAACTATGTCGTCTGAAACTCTCCACGGGAGAGGCTCGTGAGGAAGTTCAATTCTTCGCATCCCTGTAAAATGAACATTCGGAAAGTTCAACTAAGACATCGGCCACTGGACTGCCGAGATCCGATCGCAAAATGGCATTTCAAGGAACTTTAGGAGAGTCGCTCATTCCGTTTATTCGCAGGCACTCGGGTTTAGCGTCAGGAATATTGAGAAAAATAAAGCTAAGAAATCGAGGGAAGCTTTAACGTAAGACATGCGATGGAGGATGTTGGTCACGGAATGCTCCACCTTACAGTTAGACTTCATCTCGAAAGGATTCGTTCTCCATCTATGATGGGATGGACGACGTTGTTAAGGAATAACTCGTTTTTCCTTGTTCGTGAGAGGCTTTTCGGCTTGTTTTTTCATCGGGAAAATTCCACCTCCTGCCGGAATTCTCGCCATGAGAGTTCGGAATATTCAGTGTGATCAGGGGAATTCAGCAGGTTTCAAGTGGGATATTCCGTGTAATTTGCGGAAATCAAAGTTTGTTTAGCTTGTTCGGCCGTCGTCTTCTTCGCTTCGCCATGAAATTATTTCTTTGGAAAATTGAGTGTCTAGCTAAAAGCAACCCACTCATTCCCAGGATCACGAAATTCGTTGAATCCACGTCGAGATGTGCCTCGATGCTTGTCGCGAAGGCCGCGATTCCGAAAAAATTTCTTCGGTTTAGATCTTCAGCTGCTGA